GAAGTGATTTGAAAACGAGTGAGGGGATCTTGAAATCGATCCTTTCGGTAATTGGGAGCCAGTAGAGCCCGGCAAGGACTGGTATGATGGCGGTACAGAGTTTTGTGCGGGTGAGACAGAGGGCAGAGGTCATCAGTATGACCTCATAGTCTTGCAAACTTTTACACAACAAGAGAATTTTGGAGGTACTTGCATTTGTATGGTGCCTGTTCTGTCCTTAACTGGTTCAGGTCCTGCCTTTCACACCGCCTCCACTTCGTTGCGGCAAATGGCTTCTCCTCCAGCCCCTGCACCGTCTTGTGCGGTGTTCCTCAGGGCTTTGTCCTCGGTCCCCTCCTCTTCACCCTCTACATGCTCCCCTTTGGTGACATCATCCGCAGACATGGGGTAAATTTCCACAATGTATGCGGATGACACTCAACTTTATCTCTCTGCCTCCACCCTCAACTCCAGGACTACTGAGGTCCTGACCGACGCCTGTCCAACATCAAGTCCTGGACGAGGAACAACTTTCTCCAACTCAACGTCAGCAAGACCGAGGCTCTCCTGATTGGCTCGCGCCAGCGCCTCCGCACCTCAGGCACTGGCAGCATCAGCCTCCACGGTTGCACACTCAACCTCACTAAGCCTGTCAGGAACCTGGGTGTCTTGTTTGGCCCCGAACTGTCCTTTCTCCCCCAGATCCGTGCCATGACCGGCACTGCCTACCACCACCTCCGCAACATTGCCAGAATCCGCCACTGCCTCACCCACGCATTTGTCACATCAAGGATCAATTACGGAAACTCCCTCCTAATCGGCCTTCCCAACTCTTCCCTTCACAAACTGCAGATCATCCAATGCTCTGCAGCTCGTGTTCTCTCACGCACCAGGCTGCATGACCCCATCATCCCCACCCTCACCCGACTTCACTGGCTTCCCATCCCCCAGAGGATCGAGTTCAAGATCCTCACCTCACCTTTAAGGCTATCCATGGCCTTGCCTTCTCTGACCTGCTGACTCCCTACCAACCTGCCCTCTCCCTCCATTCAGCGGGCTCCAGACTGCTCCATGTCTCCTGCCCGACCCGCCCTAGCATCGGTGGCCGGGCTTTCAGCCTCTCTCCCCCTACACTCTGGAACTCCATCCCACAGTCTCTTCACCTCGCTTCCTCACTTGCCTCCTTCAAGACTGGTCTCAAGACCCTTCTCTTCGATCGTGCCTTCAGTTGCCCTCCCACCTCTCTGCCTCCCCTCATCCCCACACTACTCCTCCCCCATGCTCAGGCCCCAACACCTGACTGTTCAGCGCTTTGTTCATCCAGAACTTTGCAGCCCGTGTCCTCTCCCGCACTAGGCTTTGTGAACCTACCAACCCGATCTTCGCTCGACTCCACTGGCTTCCCATCACACAGAGGATACAGTTCAAGATACTGGTCCTCACCTTCAAAGCCCTCCATGGTCTTGCTCCCCCCTACCTCTGGGACCTCCTACCCCCTACCAATCTGCCTGCTCTCACCGCTCAGCAGGCTCCAGTCTGCTTCACGTCCCCCGCCTCTTGCCCCACCATTGGCGGGCAGGCTTTCAGCCACTCTGCCCCCACCCCTTGGAACTCCATTCTGTAGGCCCTCTGCCTCCCTTGCCTCCTTCAAGACCCATCTCAAGACCCTCTTCTTCGAGCGTGCTTTTGATTACCCTCCTTTCCCCTCTGCCCTCCACCCTCCCCAATCGTGACCTCCAGCTCGGATCCGAAACATTGACTGTCCAGCGTCTTGGGACGTTCTCCCGACTTGAAAGGCGCTATACGAATATAATTTTGTTGTGGTTGTAACCAATGGTATCAGCCTGACTCAGATAGTAGCACTCTCACCTCTGAATAAGAGGGTTGTGAGTTTAAGCCCTATGTCGGAACTTTGAACTCACAGTTTAGGCTGACTTCGATGCAGTTCTGGGGAAGTGTTAAATCATCAAATATACCATTCTTCCAATGAGAGGTTTCTCCCTGTTCCTTTCCAACAATCCTCAAGATAAAAATCGATCATTCACTTCATTGGCTCTTAGTGGACAAATTAGCTGCTGCATTCACCTACAAGTACACAGTCATTCAGCTTTACAGTATATTCCGTGAAGCTTTCATACACATGGTGTGTGGGTGTGAGTGTTTGTGTGTGCGTGTGGTGCGAGGGAGTTGTTGTTGCTTGGAAATCATCATTACTAGAAACACACAAAGTTACACTGGGTAATCCAAGCCATCACATGTCTTCCCTCAAAGAGCGGCAGATAAGAATCAGAGTAGCCAGTCAAATAACATGCAACAATTGCAAACATCGCTTAATGTCATTTGTCGAATTAGCTTATGATCGAAAGAATTTAATTCCTCTAAACTCAGTCGTCTCAACAACCCAAGTGCACTGTTAGATCAAAAAAAATTTATGTCTTTTTTTTGTTCAGTTTGTTTTCCTCTGTGGGTTTTGCTTTGTGTTTGCTTCGCCAGAAGTGCAAATCTCAGCCACACAGCTGCTGAACTCCAGAGGCCAGTGCTTGTGGAACAATTCAACCGTGGGAGTCGATCACTGACAGCAAGTGGAAGTGACACTGAACAACCTATTGAGAAGTTTGGCCCAACTGGAGTATTTGGTTGCGTGTGCCGGAAAAGCAAACTTGCAGGTCTTGGCAGACTCCTCAAAGCCACTGATAAAAGCAGCCTTTTCTTACCTCTAACTTTCAATATCAATGTCTCCCTCTAACTGGCCCTGTCAACACAAACATTCCTTTTCTGTTATTCCGAATCTCATTTTCTCTCACTAAATTTCTTCTTCTCCCATCTCCTGAAGGCATCAACTCATTATTCCTTCCACTGAGGTACAGTTCCACACACAGCATTTGCTCCCTTAGCCAAATAACCATTATTCGTGTGTGAGGTTTGACAGTGAGGACTGGCAGGCTAATTGACAGATGAGCTGGATTTTGTCCTCAACCAACAGCACCCCCCACCCCCACATATACCCTCCAGCAGTGTGTCTGGATAGCGACCTGGTGGTAAGTGGCCAATTATCCCTCACTATCCAGGGAGATTGAAACCAATTTACAGCGTCCCCACAGCTGAGATTAAGAAACTCATCTCCAGTTTGCTTTAGATCAGGCAATATAAACGTTACACACAGTTTACACATTGTTTCCTCTCCAACTTCAACCTGATCGTTTCATGTATTTGCAAGTCAATTCAAGCTATATCTAAGGCTCCATTATCTTTCTTTGCTGCACTGAAATAGGCCAGTCAATCCAACAAGTCTGTGCTGGTGTTTATAAATGCACTTGAGCCACCACCCCTCCTATTCACCCTATCTATACCCCTCTATTTCCTTCACTCTCATGTACATATCATGGTTTCTCTTAAATCCATTGGTGCTTTTTGCTTCAAACATAGCTTCCGGCAGTGAATTCTCACATTCTTACCATCCTCTGTGTATAAAGAGATTCCTCCTAAACTCTCTTTTAGATTTGCTTATGTTTATGCTCCTTTTTATGGAAACCAGACCCCATTGTGTAACTTAATGCAACATCTGAAACGCAAAGTATATGTGATCAGCAATAGATTATTCATTTTACGAAGCTGTTTGAATTATCAACAGCCTTGGATCAATTTTGAAATGTAGCTCTTAATATAGTTACATTTCAGATTTCATGTCTGATGATGTGATCGATGGTGTAGTGCCATCCAGTTACTGCCACCATTCTGCTTTATAACTAAAAGCTAAATTGCAAATACTCATGCAGTTGGCGTAGTAGTTTATGTTGCAGGATTCAAAACCCTATATTCGAAGTGGACTGCTCGAATTTCAACAGTAACATGCGTTTAAGTGGTCCAACAAGTGAAACTAGTGGATAGGCTCTTCTCGAGTGAGGCATGCGGTGTAAACCTCATGTGTTGGTAACATCCTAATATGATCTTTTGATCATGGGTTTCAGACCTAGGTCATCGCAATGTGTAATGCATGGTGTGTTCAAGATCCCTCTCAAGACATATTTCTTTGATTCCGCTTTCTGTCAATTTTTCCCTCCCCATCCCACCCTCTCGGCTCCCACCCACCAGCTCGGGCGCCCAGCCAGCGGTCTCAAGCACTGTCGGAAATCATCCTGACGTGAAAGGTGCTATAGAAATGTAAACATGTACTGTATTGTTTTGTGTGCCAGACATTGCTCTCCTCTGCATGTATTTGAGTGATGACTGATACCCCATGTGGCAGGACTCCTTCACTGTGCCCACACAACTGGACTAAGAAACATAGCTGAGACCACAGCAGTATACATGCCGCAGACCCTTATAAGACCAGCAGCCAAAGTCAAACAACTGGAGTTCCCCCGGGCGCCAGCAAGATTAGAAAGGAATTGGCTACGTATACATTTCTACAGGACTCTTGCGAGCTCTTGCAAGCTGTATTTCTCTCTGACTCTGCGGCAGGATAAGCAAATGTTTATTTCTCCACCTCAAACTGACAGTAAAATACAACAGAATGTATTTAGCAGCTTTTCCTTGAAAAAATAAAAGTGTGACTCAATTTAGAAATAGCATTATAAAATAAAACCTTACAGCAAATGAAATAAAAAAAATCATACAACTGCAGAAAAACTGCAGTGATATTTTCATTGACAAATCCCACTAGGGAAACAAAAATGATTTATAAACTACGATTCCCTGATATAAACCCATTTTATGAATGAAGCAGAAAAAACGGCAGCTTAAATCTGGTCTTTCTCTGAATGACCCAATGTTTTCTCCCTTTCCTCCCCCCCCCCCACCCACTCTCCCTTCTCCGACCCAAATCGTCTCGAGAAGATTTTCCTCGCCGTCACTCGCCTGCAGTAATTGAATCAATTCCGTTCCATGTACAAACAGCTGGCCTGCCTAGTATTTTAACTGGCTGCTTGAACAAGGACGGACAAAAGAGCAACTAGCCTCAAATGTTCAAGCTACATTTTCAGTGTCTGAAAGGCATGCCGCACTGAAGTTTATGTACTCACAGTTCCTTGGGATTTCTCCTTGACATCGTAGACCGTTAGCTTCACCCGGGTCGCCTCGTAAATGGGATAGCCCGGTGGGAAAGTAACTCCAGTCAGAAACACTGGCTCTCTTGTTCCCTGTGTACCATAAGTAAACAGACCTGTCTCAGTAAGCTAACAGCTGTGCACAGGGCAGCATAGAAAGAAATGACAGGCGTGCCAAACAAGAAAGCCTTTTAAAATAAAAATTCCCCATGCACCGAAGAGAACCTGAAAGCCACTCCACATTAACAGCCACACTTGCAGTGTTTACCAACTCACAATCGCCCTAAAAGCTGTCATGACTCAAGCGGGAGCTCACCATATGGTTGGCACTGCCCTCAAATGGCTTTGTCCTCAATTGTCATTCCTGCTTTCAAGTGCTTTTAAATGCCAATAATGATATGTTTGAAACAAATCCGCTTCCTTCTTCACTGCAGCCGTGATTGGATCACTTGTGGGACTAATGCCAGGGTTCTCATAGGCCAACGCAGCCCTGTATAAGCACCCGCCCCCACCCCGTGTGCTTATCCAGAATGTTGTTGTTATTTCAGCTTTAATTGTATGCTCTATGCATCTCTGTCCACCGCTGCTGCTACTGTCATTCTCATTGTAAACCCCTTTGCAAAACACATTTAGCAATTGTGTGTGCTGGTCCAGGTTAATATTTTGAAGTGGTCAGCAATCTGTAAAGCCAGCGCGTGAGGACATGGTACTTGCTACTGCTGAAGGCCACGGATAAAGAGCAGATTGAAGCATTCAAGAGAGTAAACGGGAGGATTCTTGGAAAGTAAGGGTGTTAAGGGATATTGGAGGGAGGGCAAATAATAATAATAATCCTTTCATTTGTTTTAGCGCCTTATCACATCGTCGACATGTCTCAAAGCGCTTCAAGGGATATCCTGTAAAGTGGATTGATTGTGTATTTTGTGGATGAAATGCAGCAGCTAGTTGCGCACAGCAATGTCCCACAAACAGGATCTGCTCTTTATCCATGACCGATTTTATTTAGGGGGATAATTGGCCAGGACACTGGGAGAAACTCCGTTCTCTTTTCAAATAGTGCCATGGGTTTTTATCATACACTCAACAGGCAGACCGGACCGCGGTTTAATGTCTCATCCAAAGGATGGTACCTCCGATAATGCAACACATCCCGGCACAGTATTAGAGTGTCATGTTAGATTATGTGGCCAGGAAAGGTAATTAAGATGGCCATAGACTTAATGATGGAGTGGGCTCCCCAGTCCATTTGTGCTCCTATGAGATCTAAAGGTAGTAATGAAATCCAAGGGATGATTTGATCATGTCGCTTACAGTGTTTCAACTTCATCTCATCTTAAACAAAGGCTATGCACCCAATACACTCCAAGGCCCTTGCACTCATCATCTGTTAATTATTTCAGGTAGTTTATAGAAGGGCCATAAATTTGTACTGTGGACCCACATGCAAAGTGAAACTTTGATCTCACGTGTGCACATATGGTTACAATACACGGGTGACAAAATTGCAAGTGAGGTGTCAGTCAAATTAGGCACAGGTTGTACCTCACCCAACCGTGCAATTTTTAATTGCTTCTGTACATAAATTCATATGGAGAAGGTGTGAGAGGAATTAAGATCGTCATCACTGAGAGTCAACAGGTGTTTATAATTCTGAAGCGATACAGACCAAAAGGTTGCAGGTTTAATAATAATAATAAACCTTGCATTTGATATAGTGCCTTATCATGCCTTTGAGATGTCTCAAAGTGCTTCACAGAATATACTGTAATGTTAATCCATGATCATTGCTGAATCAGCTGTTGTCAGTAAAGTCAGCAGTCAAAGGTTTAATATTCCACCTTGCCTTAGCTTGCAGGATCATTTTGTCTTATCTCATGGAGTCCTGTACCGTAGTGGTTAGAGCGCTTGCCTCACAAGCGAAAGGACCCGGGTTCAATTCCCGGGCAGGGCGAAATCTTAGGCACGTTTCCTTACTTCACACGCTTCTGTTTACCTTGCAGTAAGTTGGAACCCAGTTATTAATTGATTTGCGGACTGCTTAATCCCTTTTTTTAAAAAAAAATTGGTCACTCAATCCATGACTGTTTGTGGGACATTGCTGTGTGCAATTGGCGGTCACGTTTCGCTAACAAAATATACAGTCAATTCACTTTACAGTATATTGTGTGAAGCGCTTTGAGACGTCTCAACGACATTATAAGATGCTATATCAAATGCAAGGATTCTTCTTATTAAATGCTCAGACATGCTACCCCATTTGAAGGGCACTATATAAATGTAAGTTGTTTTAAAGTTCACACATGAACACACAGAATTGTGAAATATTATTGAATCCAGTATAAATTTGGAAGCCGGTTTCCTTTTAAAATGCTACAGGGAAGCCAACTTCGGAATCAAGACTGAATTCAACATTTGTGCACAATTCAATTACATATGTTCTTTATTTTAGAGACAAATGGTCTCACATCTAAGAGTAGGTGAAATTTCAAGCCCCAGACGGCTAAGAGATTGTCTTTGGGATCATTGAGCTGGAGAGGATGTAGGGGGGGGGAGAGAGGGGGGGAACAGAAGAGGGAGTGGGAGGGGAAAAGAAGAGGGAATGGGTGGGGGGGGGGGGGGGGAGAGGAGTGAGAAGACAGGAGGGAGTGGAAGGGGATTAAGGGGAAGGAGTATATAGTTTCCATTACTGATTGCTTTCCTGTGCCCCCTTTTGGAAAGGGTGAGCATGAGACAGGATGGGGCTTGGGAAGCCCTAGAGCAATGAGACCCTCACAGTCTTAGCTCAGAGATAAACAGTTACTTGGGTGGGTGTGCTGCACTGCTGACAGTGTATCCCAGCATGTGTCAGTGGCTCCACAGGAGAGACAATTGCCCACAAAGATGAACGATGCTCCCTCCCTGCCTTGCATCAATCTCCATTTGTTTCACAATCAGCCAAATGATGTCTAGTTAATTGAGAATTTTTGCTAAGTTTTGCTAAAAATATACCATTATATTTCTTAATGCACTTACTGCCTTTATAAAGTGCCTGCCCCAGCTCCCTCCCTCCCCAACATCCCTGCAATCTCCCACACCGTTAACTTTTAGTTGCCAACTGCCTGGTCGCATATACCCTTTTCACCCAGCAGAGGAGGTGGAGACACAAGTCACACACACTCCCCCATGTTTCAGCCTCTATCACCACGTTGATGTCAGCTGCTGGTACATTCACTTTACAAGAGATGAGGCGCGTAAGGAGGTTTTAATTTCGCATTCCCTGTGGTGGCAATCACTGTTGGTTCATTTAGTTTGCAACTTTCCCGCAGCGCTCCACAAATTCCCTTAACACCACCATCTATGCCACTCAGTAATTACTTCAAACAGAAATACTTAAAACTTTATTCTCTTCTCTTCAAGGCAATGTGTGATGCTTCCTGCCCAGCAGTTTAACGGGCTTTTGTACCTCTCCCAGATGGCATGTCCAAGTACAAATTGGCATAGGCCACGCATAGGCTCAGCCCCCTCCCACCCCCCAAAAATGATGCTTAACCATAGTGGCTTGCCACAATAATAATAATAATATCACAATAAATGACCCCACAATACCTGTGCGGTCATTTAACTTAACTAATTTAACATGATGACTTCCATTTGTGCAGTCCTTTTCACGTAAAAGAAATATCACAATGCACTTCACAGAATGAGACTAATTATTGGTGAATATTGTTTATGGAGGCAAATGTGGAAAATAACCCACCACAACAAAGCCCCGACAATCAAAGGGATATGCAGAGTTTCGGGGTCTGTTTGGATAACCGTGGGAGGAAAAAACTAAAACATTTTTTGAAGAAGGATAACATCCATGTGTATTATAGCACAGAAGGGACTAAAATGAATGACTCAGTCAAAGGACTGGGATCAGAACTGTAGTTAAGGAAGAAACAACAATCGATTAAACGTCTAAATGGAATAAAACCACCCCTTACAGACCATTCACGGGTGAACCACCACACAGGGAAGATTCCTCAATCTTGTGTAACATGCAACAGCAAGGTAACTGTTTTGTTGTTCCATAACACAAACAAGGTACAGTGTGAAAGAACATACTATTCTGACTCAATTTACTTTCACATAAACTGTAAGTGATAAAACATCTTGCAGCTAAAGGCAGCATGTCACGGGATATATCAGTGTTTACATGCCACCAGCAGCAAACATTGAATATCCCAAGCTGCCATTTATTCCCACGTACCATTTACACACAAGTGCTACTGGGAAAACAAGATACATCTTTAAAACCATTGTTAGGCCACATGCTGGCCTTGTAACAAATAAAACTTCATGGGTGATGTTACAATACAATCATACAAAACAATACAGTTTATATTTATATAACACCTTTCGCAGTCAGAGAACTTCGAATGGACTTTGCAGCCCTGGCACCCGAGGTAGTGAGCCGAGGGAGGAGAACAAGGGAAAAATGACTGAAAGCACGATCAAAGAGGTATGTTTTGAGACAGACCTTGAAAGAAGGGAGCTATGGAGAGTCAGAGGGTCTCCTTGATGAAGTTGCAGTGAGTAGGGCCAGAAGGCTGAAGCCTGCCCGCTGATAGTGGGGCAGACATGGTGGTGCCAGTCAGAGGGTTGAGGGGAGAGTACGAAGCAGGCCAGTGCTCACTGAGTGAAGAAAGCGGGGATGATGTGGTTGGAGGTCACAGAGGTAGAATGGAATGAGACTCAAAGGATTTGAAGTTGTGAAAGGTTACGATGGGCCAGGCTGATGCTACACAAAGGAGTAGGCTGCTGTGATCTATATGCAGCTCACATTGTGATCAATGTCTTGCAGCAATTTCAACCTTGCTTCACTTTCCCCTTCCACAGAGCTCCCTATGCCTGTCTAATACTATGCTGTACCCAACACCACAATTTGTGCGAGTGGATGGAGTAAAGTAGCTGTAGACATTTCACTTTGGCATTGTTTGCACTTGCATTTGGAAGCTCCTTTCCGACAAATTACAGATTGTCTTATGTCTGGGAAAGGAGGAGGGAATGATTTATTACACAGCAGTCAGTATAAATGGCAGGCATTATGAAAGCAGATGTGACAGCTGGTA